TGTTTTGAGGTTTTGGCCAAAAACATGTTAAAAATCCATTCATGGTGGAGGGATACATAATATGCAGGGTGTTGTGAGGCAAAATAGTCCCTGAAGGAATCTTATTATTTCAGATTTTCCACTATTTCCACTACTAACTGAGACTGAGACTGTTATAAACTGCTAAAATATTACAAAGTCTGTGCTGGTCTAAGCTAGTCTATGTTGGGTTATGCCGATCTTGTGCTGGTCCGAGACCAGAATACCAGCATCCAAAACACAACATATGCTGGTTTTGCTGGTAACCAGCCATGCTGGTCTATGCTGTTTTTTCTAGAAGGGTTTTTATACCCGTTAATATCAGTTTTGTCCAGCTGTAATCGCTAAACTGAGGTTTTACAAACGTGATTTCACAAACTAGTAATTTTGAGTTATTTATTCTGGTCCATTCATCATAAAATTTACCTACAACCTAAAGGGCAACAGGTATTTTCAAATTATATCAAAAAACTGAAAAACGTCAAAAATAGAGATACTAGGTTTTGTTCTGACAACAGCGATTTACTTTGTTTTAAGACAAGCAGACAATTTTACTAAATGAAAAAAAACGATGCCTACTCTAAATATGATTCAAAACAGATGAGAAATATTTAAAAACAAGCTAAATAATCTTATAATACTCCTACAACAGTCTCAAAATGAGAAATACTTTTGTAGTTTTTAGTTTAGTTTAGTTTATTTTGCACAATTTAAAATACACACGAATAGACTAAGATAACATACAGTGCAGGGAGAGGCAAATAATAGGCGTGTATAAAGCCTCCAACTAAATAACAATAACATTACACAATATAATGAAAAATACTAAATAATATACAACATAATAATGACATAAAACAAACCTCAAATAACTTACATTAAACAAAAACATTTGAATGTGTAAGCATGTATGTGCGTTGTGTATGTGCACAAGAGCGTCCGTGCATATATAAAATATAAATACATATGTTTATGAAATGATAGAGATTATACACCCATATTAACTCCTGAGCAGCAGTAATAATAAGCATCACAATAAATAAAACAATAGAAGAACAACTACAGTACAGACATTAAATGATCTTTTAAGTATCTTTTATAGGATTTTAAAGAAGAACAATTTTTGCCACATTGGAAAGCCTGTTCCGTATTTTAGTGCCCCTAAATCTTATTGAACAGTGACCTCTACAAGTGAGAAATTGAGGAGGATGAAGATCTGAAGATTGACGAGTTGAATATGGATGAACGTCTGAATTTACTGTGAGATCATTTTTAAACTGCTCTGGAATATTCCCTTCACTCGAATGTATCTTATGAATAAAAACACCTATTTGAAAAATATTGATATCACAAAGTGTAATAATTTGAAGTTTCTGAAATAAAGGAGCAGATGATGTATATAAATCTGATCGGGTTGCAGTCCTAACAAACTGTTTCTGAAGGACCCAAATTTTGGAGAAAGTACTATATTACAAACTATATTACAATATCGCTGCTGTCGGACCAAAACCTCGTATCTCAAACTTTACAGGAGAAGCAAAAAAACATACTTTACTTTTAATGTAAGTCAATGGAACCAGAGGTTTTTCCAAGTCATTTTGGGCTGTTTCTTTTGGTCCATTCATCATGGAATTTACAGACATTATAAAGGACAATAGGAATTTTCAAACTATGTCAAAAACTGAAAAAGAAATACGAGGTTTTGCTCCGACAGCAGCGATATGAAAGGATATTGCATGTATTGAGTAGATTTAAGTGGCTGATTTAAGAGCCTTTTACTTTTCATAAAAGCATGACTTGCATCCTTTTCCTCCAGACTGAAAAAGTGACCACGATGGCCTGATATTCTCACACGTTCTCCTCCATCTTCAAACGAGCTTCACAGTAATCACTCATTAATCTCTCACATGCTGAGGCCTCCATCAGAACGCGCTAAACGCCTTAGCCGTGTTTCTCAGGAGTGTGGTCAGTAAACAGGACAGCTGCAGAGCAAAAATAAAGCTTTCCTATATGATGGTGATGATCGTTTTAAAAAGCTGGACGCTTAATTTCTGGGTTAAGCCCTCAGACGCGCTAAATGCTGAAGTGGAGCTATGATGGCCCAATCCTTTAGGAGGATTATCCAGGGTCAAATCAAGAAAATCAAGCCCACTAGGTGCTGCAAGCCCGGCTGACCAGCTGATGAAACCCGATTAGCCACAGAGAAATGTGTGCAGCTTATATTTTTATGGCCCAATATGGACGGATAAAGCTCTAATATGGGTTAATGTTTTTCCACAGGCGGCATCAGCGGCGCATTGTATAGCTTAAAATGAGGCCTGGATTGATAACAAGGCTGGACTCCTCAAGATAAACAAGCCAGTCTTTAGGGCCTGTTTTTAGGAATCGCCATGACAGCAGTGCTGCTGGACTTTATACACCCCTCAGTGTCGCTGCTGGACTGAGAACCAAAAACATCCAGCCGACAGCGTCCTGTGGGCAGCGTCCTGTGACCACTGATGAAGGACTAGAGGATGACCAACACAAACTGTGCAGCAGCAGATGAGCTATCGTCTCTGACTTTACATCTACAAGGTGGACCGACAAGGTAGGAGTGTCCAATAGAGTGGACAGTGAGTGGACACAGTGTTTAAAAACTCCAGCAGCACTGCTGTGTCTGATCCACTCAGACCAGCACAAAACACACTAACACACCACCACCACATCAGTGTTACTGCAGTGCTGAGAATGATCCACCACCCAAATAGTACCTGCTCTGTGGGGGTCCATGGGGGTCCTGACCACTGAAGAACAGAGTGGAGAACCAGATGGACTACAGTCTGTAACTGTAGAGCTACAGAGTGAAACTATGTGGTCAGTGGAGTTGATAAAGTGGACAATGAGTGGAGATACAAGGAGGTGGACTTAATGAAGTGCCCACTAAGTATAGATCAGTGGTCTCTAGCTCTGGTCCTGGAGACCAACCATCCTGCAGAGTTTAGCTCCAATCTCCAGCCAATCAGGTACTTGGGAAGAGGTTGATTAGCTAGAACAGGTGTGGCAGATTGTGGTTGGAACTATAGGCTCTGCAGGATCTAGATCTCCAGCACCAGGGAGTGGAGAACACTGTTATAGATGATAACAATCAGCACTACTGGACTTAACCTGATACAATCTGATAGTTTACCATCATCCAAACTCCAAATCAAATCCACTAATACTGTAGAATATCTAGATCGAGGTGCAGAGTCCTGGTCCTGGAGATGTACGGTTCTGCAGAGTTTAGCTCCAGTCCTAATCTAAAGAACCTGATCCAGGTAATTAAGGCCTTCTGAACATTAGACCCAAGTGTTATGACCAAACTCTACAGGGCAGTAAACCACCAGAACCAGGTTTGAGCACCCCTGATCTAGATGTTATAGATGTTCTAGATTTTCTGCACCTTCTAAACAGTTTAAATGTTCCAGAACAGAGGTGCTCAAACTTGGTCCTGGAGATCTACCACCCTAGAGAGTTCAGATCCAACACACCTACACTCTTAAAATAGACGGTTCTTCAAGAGTTCTTTAGTGAACAAAATGGTTCTATGTAGACCATTTTTAAAACGGTTCCAGACAGAACCATATTCAACACATTCTCTATCAATATGAAGAACCATTTTACATTGTGAAGAACCTCTGAATCATGCAAAGGGTTCTTTGAGTGTTCATGGTTCTACACTCTTAGAAAGGATGGTTCTTCAGGAGTTCTATAGCAAAGACAGTGGTTCTATATAGAACCATGAACACTCAAAGAACCATCTGCATGCATAAAGGGTTCTTTGCATGGTGAAATTGTTCTTCAGATTGATGAAGAAGTAGCTGTATATGGTTCTGTATAGAACCTTTTTAAAACAGGTTACAGCACATTCTCCATCAATCTGAACAACGATTTCACCATGCAAAGAACTATTTAAGCAAAAAAATGGTTCTTTGAGTGTTCATGGTTCTATATAGAACCATAAACCATCTTTTGTAAGTGTGTAGATCTCATGTTCAGATGCTCCTGAAGGCTCTTCATTATCTGGATCAGGTGTGCTAGAATAGAGATGGAGCTAAACTCTGCATGGTGGTGGATCTCCAGAACCAGGTTCTAAAAGTTCTGCAGCAGAGCGTGTGCACCAACAAGGCAAGACTAACCTGATAACTGGATGTTCTACACTGATCTAAATGTTCTAGAGCTTATAGATGTTCCACACTTTGCAAATGTTCTAAATGGTGCAGACGGTTCCTTAATCTTGCGCCTGTGGAACCACAGCGCTGTACTCTAGTGTTCCTGACTTCAACACTCATGATCCAGCTCATTATCAAGCTCTTTGTGATCTAGATCAGATGTTTGGAGGAACATCTGAAACAGTGTTTTGTGTCTGGAGTTGAGAACCACCAATGAAGACATTATAAATGTTCTAGATATTCAAGATATTTCACATTATGTAGATGTTGTAGATGTTCTAAATGCTCCTCTAGACTATCTTGTTGCCATTCATTCTAGATGCTGATGTTCCTCATGTTGTAGATGTTCTAGATGTTGCAGGTTATCGAAGATAACGTTCTGAATGTTCTAGATGTTCTGGAGGTTCTCCAGCTCTCTGGAGCGATGTCGTGCCTGTCTGCTCTCTCTGAGGTGACTCACTAAATCCGGAGGTTCCTCTCCGGTTCTCTCCGTTTTTGGGGTTTTTTGGTTCCGCACATGCCTCACGGTTCCGTCACACGCGCGCGGAGAGCGACCTGAACGCGGACCTGAAGGAGACCCGGGCTCGCGCTAACGTGCACCGATCCGGTCCGGAAACGGTAAAACGCAGTCAGGCACGAGACGAAGCACTGAATATAAGCACGGAGCGCGAGCCGCTCGTTAAGTTTTAGTTCGCAGGCTCGCGTGCCGGAGCGCATCATCATCATCATCAACACCATCATCATCATCATCATCATCACCATCATCATCCTCAGTGAAGCCGCAGCTCTTACCCGGTCAGTCTGCTCATCCTCGCGAAGCTGAACACGTCCATGGCGGCCGCACTGAGGGCTCGAGCAGCTCGCCCGCGCGCCCCACACACACACCATCATACACTCACCACCACACACTCGGCGCGCTCTCAACCAGCAGCGCGAGCACGGAGAAACAGCGCGCGCCACAGAGAGAGAGTGAGAGAGAGAGAGGAGAGAGAGAGAGCAGCGTGGGTGTTTTACCGCGAGAGGGAGGGGGCGTGGCAACGAAGGGAGTAGAGAGAGAGAACGAGCGAGAGAGAGAGAGAGAGAGAGAAAGAGAGGACCCAGAAGAGCGTGGGTGTATTTCTGCGAGAGAGGGGGCGTGGCGACGAAAGAGAGAGAGATTTGAAGGGAGTAGATAGAGAAATGAGAAAGAAAGAAAGATGTGGAAAGAGAGGGGGGTGGAGAGAGTAGGAGAAAGAGAGAGAGAGAGAGAGACTGTGGATGTCCAGAACAGTGTGGGTGTATTTCTGAGGGGGGGGGGTGACAACGAAAGAGAGAAAAAGAGGCAGTGAGACAGAGAGAGAGAGAGACAGTAAGAGAGAGAAAGAAACAGTAAGAGAGAGACAGTAAAAGAGAGAGGCAGTGAGACAGTGTGAGAGAGAGAGAGTAAGAGAGGGAAACAGTGAGAGACAGAGAGACAGTAAGAGAGAGAGAGACAGTAAGGCAGTGTGAGAGAGACAGCAAGATAGAGAAAGAAACAGTAAGAGAGAGAGTCAGTAAGAGAGACAGTAAGAGAGAGACAGTGAGAGAAAGAGACAGTAAGAGAGAGAGTCAGTGAGAGAGAGACAGTGAGAGAGACAGCAAGAGAGAGAGACAGTGAGAGAGACAGTGAGAGAGAGAGACAGTAAGAGAGAGACAGCGAGACAGACAGTGAGAGAGAGAGTCAGTGAGAGAGAGACAGTGAGAGAGAGAGTCAGTAAGAGAGACAGTGAGAGAGAGAAACAGTGAGAGAGAGACAGTGAGAGAGACAGTGAGAGAGACAGCGAGACAGACAGTGAGAGAGAGAGACAGTGAGAGAGAGACAGTGAGAGAGACAGTGAGAGAGAGACAGTGAGAGAGAGAGACAGTGAGAGAGAGAGACAGTAAGAGAGAGACAGTGAGAGAGACAGTGAGAGAGAGACAGTGAGAGAGAGAGACAGTAAGAGAGAGACAGTGAGAGAGACATCTCTTCACGGATGGCAGCTCACCACCTGAAGCTCAATCCTAGCAAGACTGAGCTGCTGTTCATCCCTGCAACTACAGGTCCTCATCACGATCTTGCCATCTCATTCGAGAACTCTCTGATTGTCCCGTCAGCAGAGGCAAGAAGTCTTGGTGTGGTTCTAGATGGCCAGTTATCGTTCTCGACTCACATTGCGAACCTGACTCGGTCATGCAGATTTCTCCTGTTCAACATCTGGAGGATCCAACCCTTTCTCTCTCGAGAGGCCACCCAGGTGCTAGTGCAGTCTCTTGTCATTTCAAGGCTTGACTACTGCAACTCGCTCTTGGCTGGTCTCCCAATGCAGCCATCAGGCCTCTGCAACTCATCCAGAATGCAGCAGCAAGACTCATCTTCAATCTCCCAAAGTTCAGCCACGTCACCCCACTGCTGCGCTCCCTTCACTGGCTTCCTGTAGCTGCACGCATCAGATTTACAACCCTTATGTTTGCTTACAAAGCCAAAAATGGACCAGCCCTCCCTACTTGATGGCAATGGTCAAATCTCGAAGCCCTTCAAGCTTCGAGTACAGCTCGGCTTGACCCGCCATCCTTCAAGGCGCGTGGAAGGCAAGCATCTAGACTGTTCTCTGTGCTGGCACCCAGGTGGTGGAACGAACTCCCACTGGCTGTCCGAACAGCAGAGTCTCTCGCTGTCTTCAAACGCAGACTGAAGACCGTCTCTTTATACAGCACTTAAATGAGCACTAAATTAAGTATTGATTGTAAAGTATTGTACTGCACTTATGTATTGTGTTGTATTGTATTGTATTGTATTGTATTGTATTGCACTGCTCTGTGTTTAACTCTGTCCCTTTTTCTCTAGGTGTCAATGACTGTCTGATTCTAGCAGTATCTGAGTTTAGGACTGTCTTTCTCTCTAACCTGTTGGTAACTAGCGAAGATTCTTTCTCTGGATAGACAAAGCACTTTTTGTAAGTCGCTCTGGATAAGAGCGTCTGCTAAATGATGTAAATGTAAATGAAATGAAAAACAGTGAGAGAGCCAGTGAGAGAGAGACAGTGAGAGAGACAGCGAGAGAGAGACAGTGAGAGAGACAGTGAGAGAGAGACAGTGAGAGAGAGATGTGGAGTTTTCACTGTGTTTAGTAAAGCAGTAGCTGTGTGGTTTATTTACTAATAAGTAAGTTTAAAGTTCGTATATCTGAGTCTGTCCACTCTTGGCTGTCTTGGTCACGCCCCCAGGCTCCTACGCCCCAAGCTGCCACGCCCCATGCCCCCAAGCTGCCACGCCCCCAGACAGTTTATCCCAGTCATCTCAGGCTGAATGAATGTAGATAAACTCCAAACCTCCCAGCAGACTAACAGTTTTAACACTGCTTGAAATCAGTGGTAAATCTATACAAATCATCCCACTGGAACAGAAGGTTCTATCAGTGTTCTAAACAGTTCTGAGATATTGAGATTTCGGCTAGCAAAACTGTGTGGAACCCGCCTCACTCATACATGACAATGACAGACACGCTAAATGTGTTCTAAATGTACGATATGAAAGTCCTATCACTTCTGTAAATGAGGTTTTTTTGGAACAGGTCAAATGCAGACAGAACCTTCTAATCCTGAGAACCCACATTCTGCTTGGAGTTATCAGGTTCTATAAGACAAAACATGAAAAGAAGCAACAAATTTCAAGTAACACAAACAGTTCATACTCGTAATTTGTTTATAAAACATAAAATTAGTGTTCTGACCATGTCCTTATGTATCACAAATCTGCATTTAATATTTCTTTGACATTTATATTTATATTTAATTATTTTTATGACATTTATTTCCTGTTTTTCTTATTCAAAAAAAGCACTGATTGATAGATTAAGTATAAAGGTCAGCGCTAAATGTTTTCAGTGCAGAGGTCAGTTTTAGGAACCATTAGTTTAAGTTTCCTTTAGTCAGACAGAAACAGCTGCTGTAATAAACTGTCCCAGCAGGTCAGTGTAGCCGGTCAGTGTAGCCGGTCAGTGTAAAGGCAGTGTGAGGTTTAGTTTTATATCAGAAATGAGACTCTAATGAGCCAAAATGTCTAATTTTGGGAGAAAGAAGAAAAAGACGAGTAAATGAATTAAATTAATGCTTATGTTGTAATTAAGACCCCATCATTTCAAATGTTTACTATTTAATCACCTTGAAGGTTTAATATTTATCAAATTTAAGACTGTAAGACTTTTTAAAGAACTTCTAAGAAGACAGGCGGAGTTTCAGCAACATGTTTTCACGTTTCATAAAGTTTTATAAACTTTTCCCGCCGTCATTGAGCAGAGCAGCCTCATGACAAAGAAGCAGAACCTGATTGGTGCTCTTGTGTGTATGCAAAGTGTTGATTGGCTCACAGATAGAACCCTATAGAACTAAGTTAGAGATTGACTTTGGGGATGGAAAATTCTTGTTATTCATTTCATGAGATCATTTTACTTAATAAAATTACCTAAAACAAGTAAAATTGTCTAGAAATAAGGTAAATAATCTTAAAATAATTGCACAACCATCTCAAAATGGGAAATATTAGATATATCGACTAGATTTAGGATCATTTTGCTTGACAACAGACCATTTTTTGCGGCGTAGTGTAACAGAGGGAAGGAGAACTTGTTTCCAGTCTGAATTTGGACGCTGTAGTTGACTGGAACCAGTTGCAGCATTAGCAATACAGCATTAGCACAGATGTTACAGCAGAGCAGGTCTTTACGAATCACTGCAGGCCGATGTTTTCTCCTCACTGGCGGCTCTGGTTGTTCCACACACGCTTACGTTCTGTTTTTCCAGCCACCAGAAACCAGAGGGGTCAAAAAGACAGCAGCAGAGCAGACGGCAGCTGTGAAAGCAGACAACTTTTCAATAAAGCAGCCCGATCGATTCCTGCCTTCAGTGGCAGAGACTGGCCATGCAGCGCCAGCCGAGCCTGATTTAACTCCATTCAAACACACAGCAGGTCCTCAGAAAGAGACCAAGCCTGCTGTGGTCAACCTCCCAGGGAACAGGGCTGGGAAAAGACCCCCCACTCGCTGAAAACATTACTTTTGAAACACAGAATAAGATACAGTCATAAAGTAACATCATTACATAAACAACAAAACGTACAACAGGTGCAATAATGCCTTTAGAGGGCGGCGCTGAGCGACGTCTGTTTATTTGATGTTCGTTAATGACGCCTTTAGAGGGCGGCGCTGAGCGACGTTTGTTTATTTGTTGTTTGTTAATGACGCCTTTAGAGGGCGGCGCTGAGCGACGTTTGTTTGATGTTTGTTAATGATGCCTTTAGAGGGCGGCGCTGAGCGACGTTTGTTTGATGTTTGTTAATGATGCCTTTAGAGGGCGGCACTGAGCGGCGTTTGTTTGATGTTTGTTAATGACGCCTTTAGAGGGCGGCGCTGAGTGACGTTTGTTTGATGTTTGTTAACAACGCCTTTAGAGGGCGGCGCTGAGCGACGTTTGTTTATTTGATGTTTGTTAATGACGCCTTTAGAGGGCGGCGCTGAGCGACGTTTGTTTATTTGATGTTTGTTAATGACGCCTTTAGAGGGCGGCGCTGAGCGACGTTTGTTTATTTGATGTTTGTTAATGACGCCTTTAGAGGGCGGCGCTGAGCGACGTTTGTTTATTTGTTGTTTGTTAATGACGCCTTTAGAGGGCGGCGCTGAGCGACGTTTGTTTATTTGTTGTTTGTTAATGACGCCTTTAGAGGGCGGCGCTGAGCGACGTTTGTTTATTTGATGGTTGTTAATGACGCCTTTAGAGGGCGGCGCTGAGCGACGTTTGTTTATTTGATGGTTGTTAATGACACCTTTAGAGGGCAGCACTGAGCGACGTTTGTTTATTTGACGGTTGTTAATGACGCCTTTAGAGGGCGGCGCCGAGCGGCGTTTGT